TTTGAAATAAATTGTTTTTTTTAATATTTTAATGCTCAGCTCGCCTAGAAGTCAGAAATCAGGAAGTGGAAGCGAACGTTCTGGTTCACAAAGTCGAAGTTCTCGTTCACGTTCACGTTCGGGTAGTGGTTCAAGAAAATCACATTCTCCATCTAGAAGTCGTAGTCGAAGTGGTTCAAGATCAGCAAGTTCAGGTAGTCATCGATCTAGTTCTAGTGGTAGTAGGCATTCTAATTCAATTGGAAGTCCTCACTCACCAAGATCAAAACATTCGCCAACGCCGGAAAAAGAAATCACTGAAAAACCTGCAATTGAAACAATAAATGATGGAGATTCCCGTTCACAATCACCAAATTTACAAATAGATGATGGTGGTAACAGCAGATCTCGTAGTGGCTCTAGAAAATCGCATTCACGTTCTCGTAGTGGTTCAAGAAAATCTCATTCACGTTCTCCACAAAAGAAGTCACGTAGTCGGAGTCGAAGCCAATCTAAAAGTCCATCACGAAGCAGATCAGGTACTCCATCGCATAAATCACGTAGTGGTTCGGAATCAGGTACTGATAATGAAGGCAACAGAAATGTTGCCAAAAAACGCAAAGCAGTTTCTAGTGGTTCTGAATCTGATAAGGAAACTACAAAAGAACCGAAGAAAAATCGAATTGTGGATAGTGACAGTGATAGCGATGAAGTAAGAGAGTTAATTTTTATGTTATAAATATATTTTCTTACTAATTTTTAATTTAATTTAGCCTACTAAAAAATTAGATGCTCAAGACATATTTGGTGATGCCGACGATATAAGCTTATCTGAAGATGATGAAAAGAAATCAGTTGCTGACTCGAGAAATGGTTCAATTAAAAGTCGTTCACGTTCTAAATCGAGATCTCGTTCCCGTTCAAGTTCACGCCATTCTGGCCGTTCTAAATCTCGTTCAAAGTCACGTTCACGTTCCCGCTCACGATCACGTTCGCGAACACCTTCCAAATCTCCAGAAAGAGGCGAAATTGTTCAAATGAAAGAAAATGAACCAGAACAAATCCCTGAAACTCGTATTGAGGTTGATATACCACGCATTGTTACAGATTTAGGAAAAGATTTACATTTTGTTAAATTACCAAATTTCTTGTCTGTGGAAACAAGACCATTTGATGTTGAAACGTATGAGGATGAAATTGATGAGGAAGAAACAATGGACGAAGAAGGTCGACAACGCATTAAGCTTAAAGTTAGTAATACCATACGTTGGCGTGAAACAATGAATAATAATGGAGACATGATTAAAGAATCAAATGCTCGTATGGTGCGCTGGTCTGATGGTAGCATGACTTTACATTTGGGAAACGAAACATTTGATGTGTACAAGCAACCATTGCATGGTGATCATAATCATATGTTTATACGTCAAGTAAGTGATGAAAAATTATTTGCTTTTCTATGCACTTATTATAAATTATTATAATTTTATTCTAAGGGTACTGGTCTTCAAGGTCAAGCTGTGTTCCGAACTAAACTAACTTTTAGGCCACACTCTACGGAGTCTTTCACGCACAAAAAGATGACAATGTCTTTGGCAGATCGCTCACAAAAAACAAGCGGCATCAAAATACTTACACAAGTTGGTAAGGATCCGACAACAGATCGTTTATATAACTTAAAGAAAGAAGAAGAAAAATTAAGACAGGCTGCTCGAAATCAAAATAAACCGCAGCCTAAGAAAAAGAAGGCAGGCGTACATGATTTACTTACTAGCGCAAATACTTCGTATCATCAGGATGAAGGAAGTGATGATGAGAATGTAATCTCTTTGAGTGCTATAAAAAATAAATACAAGAATAATGCAGCGGGCGGTTCTGGAGCTGGTAAAGAAAAATCAGCAATTTATTCATCCGATGATGATGATGGCTCAGATTTTGAAGTGAGACGGCATAAAAAGGTTGGTAAAGCTAAAGCACTACGAGATTCGGATAGTGAATCTGATGCAGATCAAGGCAGTGAAAAAGGTGCTGCTAGTCATTCAGATAATAATGACGACGCCAAATCTGGTGGCAGTGGAAGTCACAGTGATGACGAATAAATAAAACATGTTAATAATACAATTATGTTTAAATTATATTAAAATATCTTCAACTAAATACATGTTTTTTTTTTAAATAAAATATGTTCATCGGTTACATATCAAGGTACACATTTATTGATTTATATATATATATATATATATATATATTTATATATTTCAACTTTTAGAGTAAATAGTTTTTTTATTAAATACCTTTTACATTAAATAATAATACAAAATGATTCTTAACACTATTAGCTTTAGACTACAAATTACTATTTCTTTCAGTTTTAATTTAATTCTTCAAATAAATATTGGGTTTTTGTGCGTTTAAAATGCAACAAATTTTTAAAGATTTTTATTTTAGCATTTAATTTAAAGCTAGTACATTAGAAAATTAAAATGCTCATATTTAACATATTCGTTAAGGCAGTTTTTGTAAAATAAAAAATGCAAATATATTTTGTAGAAATGAAATAATTCATTTGAAAAAAATTTGCAAAAATTTAAGTACAAATTATTGTATTAATGTAAACTGTTTTGATAGCAAGAGCTCAAAAATTAATTATAATTTTTCACCTCATTAACATGTTTATATTTTTTAAAATTATTTTTTGAGTTAAAAGATTAATTTAATTAAAAATGTTAATTATGAAAATGAAAAATAGTTCAGTTTTGAATATGTTTTGCATATGTTATAAATGCACTCAGTCAAGACGTATAACGATTGTTATTGTAACATTTTAGATTAAACAATATTGCATAGTTTTCGTTATTAAAATTAAGTTACTGTAATATTACTACAATTATTAAAATTAAATTCTCGGCACATTTTGATAGCTATACATTTTCAACATCCTTTAAATAGTATTATATTGTTATTTCATTAAATCTATAAACTTAGAATTATAGACGTAACTCTGCGAGCATTTCCAAATACTTTTTATACGAGATATACGAGATTCATGTGAATGACCTTTAAATTGCACTGCTCGCTTGCGGTTGCAATTATTAAGAAATCTTCTTCAATATATGCATAGCATTTGTCATAATCAGCAAGCCTAAAATTTAAAAACATTAATTAGAATATGTAATAAAATCAAAGCATCAAGCATCAAGCATCTCACTACAGACCTGCAATCGAATTGAATTCATCTCGTAGCCACCTTTACTTTGCATTTGCGTTTGTATTGCGTTCAGGTGATTTGTTGATAATTCTACATCACCAGAACCAATGTGTCCAGTGTGCACGAAATTTGTTGGGTTGCCTATCATTGATCGATCGATTCTCAAACGTTGATGTCTTCTACGTGTGGGTGATTGCTGTTGTTGAAAGCAACAGGTAAAGCATTGCATCCAAATATCACCAGTTGAGGCCATTTTACTTTTAATGGAAGTAAAACTATTTTGATTAACAGGAGCCACGATTTTATTTCAACTTTAAAACGGATGTGGGATGAAAACTTAAAAGTGATTTAACTCCTTAAAAACTCTCAAATCTGCAAATCTGCAAAATTAAAAAAGAAAAAACAAAAAATAAAATTAAACAACAGTTCAAATACTTAAAAAGTTATATTTTATTTATTAAATAAATCAAATAATATGAAGATATATTTATATCTATATATATAGATAGATATACATGTGGATTTATATAGATAGATATATATTATCTATGAGTATCAAAACTATAGTCTATGTAACTATACTAATAGTCAGGTGAGCAGCAAATAAGTCATCTGAAATACATGTGGTTCAGGGACGTATACCAAATCGCTTCTGGATTATATCAATACTAATAAATATATCTTTATATAGTAATAAGGTTACTACAGCACAGTAAATAAAAATAAACTGTAGAGCTTCAAATATGTTCTGACTGTACTGTTTTGTATGTTTGTAAAAAAACATTGTGTAAACAGTACACTAAATAAAGATCGGAATATATCAAACATTTGTAGTGTTTGTGTTCATGTTCACAAATCTTTCTCATATGTCTACCAGGTGTACCGGTATGAAGTGAGCGTAAAGATACATGTGTGAAATATATTTAGTATACATCAAGTCATTGAACAGACAACATCATATTTTTTCATCGTGTTAAAAATGTCGAATTTTGTACCAGAAAATGATGATTTGCGGAAAGCATTCATTTTTTGTTTTCATTTGAAGAAAAGTGGTGCAGAGTCGCATCGAATGCTTGTCGAGGCATATGGTGATCATGCTCTATCAGAAGCAACATGCAAAAGATGGTTTCAACGGTTCAGAAATAATGATTTTGATGTGAGAAATGAAGAACTTGGAAGACCGCCAAAAAAGTTTGAAGACGCCGAATTGCAAACGATATTGGATGGAGATGACACTTTGGGTCAAAAGCAAATGGCAGAAATGTTAAATGTTGCACAACAAACAATATCTGACCGTTTAAAAGCTATGGGAAAGATCCAAAAGTGTGGAAAATGGGTGCGATATGAATTGAATGAAAGAAAGATGGAAAACCGAAAAAACACTTGTGAAATTTTGCTTCAAAGACACGAAAAAAAATCGGTTTTGCATCGGATTGTTACTGGCGATGAAAAATGGATTTATTTTAAGAATCCTAAACGGAAAAAATCATGGGTTAATCCGGGACAACCATCAACATGGACTGCAAAACCAGATCGATTCGGCAAGAAGACAATGCTGTGTGTTTGGTGGGACCAGGAAGGTGTGGTGTACCACGAGCTCCTAAAACCTGGTGAAACCGTCAATGCTGGTCGCTATGAACAACAAATGATAAATTTGAACCATGCATTGATCGAGAGACGACCAGAGTGGGCCAGAAGACACGGCAAAGTAATTCTGGTCCATGACAATGCACCTGCACACAAAGCAAAACGGGTTCAGGATGCAATCAAAACACTTGGCTGGGAGCTGCTACCCTACCCGCCGTATTCACCAGACTTGGATCCTTCCGACTACCATTTGTTTTCATCGATGGGACACGCATTGGCTGAGCAGCAGTTTGATTCCTACGAGGAGGTCGAAAATTGGGTGTCTGGTTGGTTTGCTTTAAAAGACTTTCCTATTATTAATTAGTGTTTTATTTTCACCAAAAAACGCTCATTTCATACCGGTACACGTGGTATTTGTACAGACACTAAAAAGTTCACTACGTTTATGAAAAGAACGTTATAAAATTCACTATGTTCGTGAAAAGAACACTAAAATTTTTGTATGTTTCGGACATAAGGTGTACACTATTATAGTGTACTATATATTTTTGGTCACTGACGTAAGGAGCGATGAAGATTAGTTAGTAAATTTGAATACGATAGGTATGTGCTTTTACTTGAATTAAATTCAGTAGATAATCAAAAGGAGATGTGCGAATGTTATGTTATGATATATAAATATAATTAATTATTGGATATCTATAAATTATTTTTGATATAAATATTTAATTTGAAAATGAATATTAGTTTATAACCATATTATTAATTAATTAATGTGGATATGTTTTGATTACAATTTATTACAGGTAATTCATATTTATCCTGTGAACATTAGATTCTAATTCATATGTAATTTAAGCTATCATAGTTGTATGATTAGGATTAAGTTAGATTTCCAGTAGGTTAGGTTAGGTTGGATTGGCGACTAGGTGGGCAAAGCCCACTTTAACACAAATAATGACCCGTTGTTCCGTATAACTGATTAGCGTTGTTCATACGCAGACCAGATGTATTCTTGGAAAGACGGCAGTGGTCAGTATATGAGCAACGTTATAAGGCACAACCCAACTTATGTAAAAATAATGAATTTCTTTTTACAACTTCTATTATATATGTATATCGGTACAACATCAAAAATTCATTTTATATTATTTTAGTTAATTTAATTTTTGGACGACCATACAGCTGTTTCGAGTATTGCCAAATATTATTTAATTATTTATAATAAAATATGTATTTAATTATTTGTAAATAATTTTTTTGAGACTGCGAGTACCAGAAATCGAATTCGTGTCCTGCCAAATTTGAAGCTCAAAGTCAGCGCTCCTTCACCTTGGACTTGACTTTTATGTTCGCACATTTTTCTGGAGTTTTTGTTAATTTGCTGTGAAAGATTTATTAACAAATTTACTTGCTGTGTTTATATTAGAATGAAATCATAGACCAGCTGTAGAATAATTGTATTAATTAATTATATTTTTATTTTATTATATATTTTTATTATTGTTAAATTTCAATACTATTCTGTTTGTTCATTAAACCCTGTGAAATTTGATTCAACATGTTGTGCCACTGTGTCAACGTTGAACTTGACATACGTAGTTTTTTCAAACACATTATAAAATATTATAAGTATTTGTATATGGGATTAGGTTTTTTAGTATTTGCAATTATATATAAGAATTATTGATGATTTATTATAAAAATCATTTTATCAAGATGCATTATGTCTTTTAAATTAATTAAAACTTGATGAGTCTGAACAGTTGATTAGGATTGACTTAAGTGTTTAGTGTTTTAAGTATTACATTTTCTTCGAGTAATTATTGAGGTTATTAATGAATGAAGGTGAAATTCATTGTTTACCTTTAAAGTTTCGGAGACTTCTGTAATTTATAGATTTGGTTACCTACTATGTTTTTCTACTACTTTTTATTGATAATTATATATTAGTTTTGTTAGTTTATAATTGTCTAACAAAGCTTTTTATGAAATTGCTTTAAATGAAAGTTTTACTATTAAATGGTTTTCTCTTAGTCACAACACTACCATCGACTATCCAATAAGACACAGAAAATGTAATTAAGTACTGTAAAACAAATTTAATTATCCATTGTTGTGGGTAATTAAAAATCTATTTGTACTTCGTTTGCCGGCTTAAGCCATGTAACATTATTTTGATGCTCCAATTGAGAGCGAGAAATGCAAACTTCTGGGCTAAAACTCACACTGTACGACTAGTTTCGCTAAACTACACATGAAATTTAGTTTGTTTAAAATTAGTGACAAAATTTCACAAATAGCTGATTTAATACTCAAATCGGGTAATTAACACAACAGAAAAGTGAAAAAAATGAAAGTGTTGAAAGCACGTAGTCAAATTGCTGACGTTATACGAGTAAGCTGTGATTTTAGTTACACGTACTTTAATCTCATAATCAAAACCGATATACTTTTTATTAAAATGTACAAAAACACTATATTATTATATTAGAAGAATAAGATTTAAAATTTTAATATATTTACATATGGATTGCTGTTGAAATATTAAATACTTAGACAAAATGAACCAGTTTCTAAAAGTTGGATCAAAAGTCAAATTAAACACTATTTTATTAAAATTTATACTGTTAACTTAAATACAAAAGCTGACCTGTACAATTCTATTAATAGGTATATAGCAGAAAAGATTTAAAAATTTATGACTCAATTTCAATTCAAATTCTTGCATCATCATTCTGGGCTTAGAGTAAGTCTCTAAGCCCTGTTCCGTCCATAAAAAGTAGTATAGAACCTACTTTACAGAGTTTTATTGCCCCTTTCATAAACATATACATCCCCAAAAGTCTATTCCGTCTCTGAATCTTCATTTTCTTCGCATAATGTACAATTTGCAACCGTATATATGCCCAGTCTTGTAAGTTAGTGTTTTAGTTTACAGTGTTCTGTTAAGATTCCTGCGATAATTCTAAGTTTTTATTTTGATAACTCCATATCTTCTGGTATCTCCTATTGTCTTAGGTACCAATAAGTGATTTGGATTTTTCTAATACTTACAGATTATCCCAGTATTCCTTTTTATTTTGGTTATTCTCATTTTTATAAGAGAAATATATATGATAACTTAGTGTGATAACTTGTCACTCTTATCAAATACGGGTAATATATAGAAACATTTGAATATGTCAAAAGAAATCCAGTTTTTATGGCCATATGAATTGTATGTATGACAAAACCATAACTTAAAACGAAACCTTTTTTAGAGTACGGTTTTTTTAAAGCACCTGATGTGCATTTATTATTAAGGAACTTCTTAGTGACGAAAGCAAATTTAACAATAACAACTTTAAAAAAATGTAGAACTTTACTTATCTAAGTGTTTGTTACAACAGTATCGTATTCTAACCTATCTTTAATAAGCATCAAGAGTTAATAGATACAATATTTAACATATTTATAATATTTATTTAGCAGCACAGCAGCTAAAAATTTTCAATATCTTGATGTTAACATCACAACAGAAAACAATAAACCAAAGATATGTATAGGTTAAAGAATACTATGTTAATATGTATAATATTATTTCGATTTATTTTGTAATTAAATTGATATTTAACGTCCGTTTTCACGAAAGAAACTAAATTCTTGATATAAACCATTGTTTTTAAAAAAGGTTTTTATGGAACAGTAGTGAATTGCAACAAAAAAATTTATTTCAATCTTGATTTTTGGAATTGGGTTTTGAAGTATCCTTAGTTTTATGTAGATACAAAAATATGTTTATCTTCACAAGAG